TATCAGAGGAAGTGTGGATTTCTGCATCAGAACCTCCTCATCTGATCTCAGGGCATAGGCAAGAACATAGAGACAATCCTTTAGGTTGCCATTAAGCCATCCAAGGTCAAAATCCATATTCTGAATCGAGCCTGGATCCATACTGGAAGTCATTGTGGTTGGTTATAAACTTGGTTGACAGAAGTGAGCACACTTAGCAAGCCATGTCATTTTGGTGAACAGTATGCATGTTTAAACACTTCCCTTTTTTATTTATGTATTTATTTATTTATTACTTCTCTCTGAGCGGCTTACAGTTACTCTGTTATCCCTAACTATGGCCACATCTGAATTGGGGTGGGGACTCGTATTTAGCTATGGGACTCGTACATATAATGATTTAAAACTGTAAATACATAAATCCATTTTAATTAAGAAGCAGTATCTTTCCTAATTTTAACGGATAATTGCTTTTGATGGTTTTAATTTGAGTGTATTTTGCCAGTTTGGCCTTCAAAAAGAGAAGGAAATATGTATTCACTTCCTGTGGTGGTAATAATAGTGCCAAATCATTGTACAGTGGTTCATAACCTTTAATCCGCTACTACCCACCAGATACGCAGCACTGTTGTGTGCCCCTCAAGCTGTGAGTAAAAGATTGAGGGTATGCAAAAGTTGTCCAGACAAGGAAACTTTATGATATATGCAGACAAGGGAGAACTGGTTTTTCCAAATGCCAATTTTTATTTCAGTCTAGTTGGCATCTCTTTTTGTGAGAATCTGTTCCCCCTTTGTCTTATACTTGAGAATACTATCACAGCTGGATTCCAGGAACATTGCTTCCCAGGACTGCCCAGTATGTCCTTACTGCATCAGCATTGTTGGACATATTGTTGGACAGCATTGTTCCACTGTGTGGTTTCCTTGCTGCTGCTGCCCCCACTGCCTAGTATGTTTTAGGGAAAGGGAGGAGTGGTTGGGGGTGGAACTTGCAGGAGAGGCTCTTAAACCTCATATTTTTCCCAGTTATACAATCAGAAGTATACATATTTTGAAATACACTATATTTATTTTAAAAGATGTTTACACTTGATCTTAGCTAAAAGGATGAGAAGTGGTATTTTTAAAAGAGATCCTAACCTTTGGTCAAGTGATTAAAGCTATACAGAAATAAAACAGAAAGCATTCAGTGCCAGGAACAATAGCTTTTCTCTTTGCTGTCCTTCAGGAAATGTGCTGCCAAGCTGTACTGGATATAAATGCCTCTTAAAGCATTGTGGTTCCTACTTGGACCAGATGGAAACACAGCTTGTCTCTGTGGTATGGTGGCTGAGAGAAATTTCTGCAGCAAGCCTTGAGATACCATCCCATCCAAAACATTTTAATTTTCTCAGAATTAATTTTTGCTGAGTCTATTCTGAACAAAGGCTTTTTCACACCTAAAGTGAAATCTGGATTAGAAACAACAAATCTGTTACCCTTTTAAGATGCCACAGTGTTCCCCTTTGCTTCATCCTCATGCAAAATCTACAGATCCCTAACAACTGACCAATGAACCCATTTAATCTTTTTGAAGTGAGGGATGGTGAAAGTATGGTTAGTGCAGAGCAGCATCAGCCAAGTTTGGATCCAGACTGTTTTCTACTGTCAGAAGGGTTCTTCCAGCTGGCGAAGAGGGTTTGTGTGGCTTGCCTGTTTGTCCCCTCGCCTTCAGGTACATCAAGCCCACTGCTACTCTCCTTCAGGTACATCAAGCTCACTGATATTCATAGGGGTCCTCAGAGCCTTGGGGCAGTGGATTGCAGTAGGACCAGGGAGGATGGAAGTTTCATTCTTAGTGGCTGGAAATTATGATTGAGACTACCAATTCTGGAGGCTGTGGCTGTTCAACAGTACTTTGAGGAGAGCCTTCTTTAAGAGCTCTCAGTGCCACAAAGGATGTGTCTCTTTGAGAGGCAGTTGGAAGACTTCTCTAAGTCTCTGGCATGACTTTTGAAGTCAAACACACCTGTCCTGCATTCTTCAGCATGGTTGCAAGTGGCACTCTACTGACATGATTTCTCTAGGGACCCTTCTCAGGCAGAGGGAACTCTCACAGAACTGTAAATGATCACCATTGATTGACCTCTCAGCACAAAGGCAGGACTGGGTACCATGTGTTGAAGAAGTCAGCTCTTGTCTCATGCGAATGAGACTATGAAGAAACTATGCTGAGGTTATGAGGAACATAAAAGATTCAGAGTTATCCTGCACACTTCTGGGAAGGTGTGTGGTGTCACTATGCTAGAGATTACTACCTGTCTTCTTTCCTCATCTGTGAGCTGTCTTATGAGGGCTGTTGGGACTCACGTGAACCTCTCTGTGAGAGGGTTTGTCAAACCATTGAACTTTGTATACCAACCTGCTCTGTACCCTGTTGGGTACCAATACCCCTTCCTCCTTTATCAATACCAAGACTAAAGCAAATCTCACTACTCCAGCTCTGCCTTTGCTATCAATACAACCTCTGTAAGAAAATTGTCTAATGTTCTAGGTCATTTGGTGAAGGACAATCATCCTCAGCAGTTATACGGTCACCCCTCCCCCATGTCTTTTAGACCAGCTAACCATCCACATGAACCACTGCCTGTCTTAGTTTCCTCTGAACGTGCTGTGCCAATTGGACTATTGGCAAGTTTCATCTGAGTCCTCCCATTAGGCTGATTTTTCTGTATTTGCTTCTGAATCATGGAAGGCATTAGATTAATCATCTATAGAACTTCCCTCTAGGTACCAGTCTGCTTCCAAAGGAAGGCACCTGCCTATACTCAGAACAGATTATTAGGATGGTGGCAGCCTTGGGGATCGAGTTCTCTCGAGAACCCCCTCAGCAATCTGATCCTGTCTTTGGGGCCATTGAAACAGGTCCGTGCTCTTGTTGCCTCACCTTTTCTCTCAATTGTATTTGAAATCACAAAAGAGCTATCGGACAAGATGTAATGAGTGTCTCTGTCATCTAAAGCTGGATGGCTGTGGTTTTCTTTTATGTCATTTTCTATCTGAGATTCACTTGAAAATAGATCCTGAAGTCCAAGCGCATAGTAGAATGTTGTGTCCTGTCCACTTTAGTGGCCCTGTGCAAACATGTGCAGTTGAGCTCTGCAGACCTCACAAGTGAAACAAGGGTGCATATTGAGAGCTTTAGAGGGGGAAGGTTTCTTAAGTGAAAAGACAGACAACACATTGAAGTGCTTACAGAAGTTTTTATCTATGGCGATGTTGATTAGCAATGATGTGGCCACCTTCCTTCAAGGCCACACTCATGGGCATGATGACACTATCTTTCCTGAGTCAACCACTTCAGACTGTTGGGAACATTTAGCGCCTTTTGTTGGCTTCATTTAGCACAATTGTTGGCTTCATTTAGCACACATGAGGCCTCATTGGATTTGGCAGGTCCATCATTTCTGCCTGCAGTAGAACTCAGAACCAGCAAGGTTTCTTCAATCTCTGTGGTAGTGAAGTCCTCAGTGGGACTTATATCATGGTGTGTGTGTTTTTTTTACCCCTGAACCACATTTCAGGCCAACGGATGATTCACTGGGGCACCCACTGCAACTTCAATTCCAGCAGTCAGCCATGTTGCTTCCAAGAAAAGAAGTCTCAGATCAACCACCTGTTAGTTTCTGGCAGTGTACGAGGTGCTTTGGGACTTTGTCCCCAGGGTGCAAGTTAGTATTGGTAGTGGCCACTGACAATACAATCACTCTGCACTACATCCTCAAGGAAGGTGGCACAGCATCAGTCACCATGAATAAACATGCCTGCTGCCTGTGGGAGAGCTGCATTAAGTATGGTATTGTTTCAATTGCCATCCATGTTGCAGGGAAGGGCAATGCTTGTACAGTCTACCTCAGTTTCTAGGCCTCTGTTGCCCATAAGTGGGAGCTGAACAACATATACCCAGGAATCCTGCATCTGGTTACCTGGGGGATTCAGCTAACAAAGTGATCCCAGAAATAATAAGAAAAGTCCTAATCAGTCTAATCGACCAGAATATCCTATGAGCACAAGTAGAAGTGTTTCACTGCCTTTGCTTCTCAGCAGGGATGGGATCCATTTCTTTATCCAGTGATGTCTGTCCTATATGTGTGCCTTCTTTTGTCTCTAGGGCTGACACACTCATCTCTTAGGGTCCATCTTGGATTTGTGACTTCTCATGCAAGAACAGATGACTCTTTCAACTGATGGTGGTGCTTCTGGAATCTTGTTTGGCACTATCCTGCAGTCCAGTTTTCAACTGCAGCTTGGCACTTGCATCTTGTCCTCCTTTAACTTATGTGCAAGCCTTTTGAGCCTATAGCCACCTGTGATCTATGTCTTTTATTAAAGTTGTCTTTTTTAGTAGCAATCTCCACCACCATGAGAATGTCTGAATCCAATGGTTGGATATTCCATTTCTAATTTTTCATGGAATAAAGTGGTCCTCAGACTGGAGATGATGATCTTGCCAAAGGTGGTGATGGGATTCCATCTAAATCTAGACCTGGTCCTTCACACCTTCTATACATCTCCATCTAATATTAAGCATGCTCTCCATTCTGTTGATATTAGAGATCTTTCATTCTCCGTGGACAGGGCTGTTTTCTTTGGACACTACATGAGATTCTTGTATTCTACTCTGGCCACAAAAAGGGACTGCCAGTATCTTCTGAAATCATTAGTCACGGGGGATCTTCTGCCATTCATTAGTGTTACAAGCTAGCAAAAACAGCGTCCTGCTCAGATGGTAAAGGCCTGATCCTTCAAAGTTCTAGCAACATCATTGGACTTTTCCAGAGGTATTCCATGATCAGACTTTAGAGAGTTGTTACATAGGCCCAGACATCAACATTTGTTTGATATGCCTTCAACCTCTATGCCTGGGCAGGCACATTGTTTGGATGGGTGGTTCAGAAGCCTCTATTCAACTGATGTACCTGTGCTCGTCTCCAAGTAGGTCAGCTGCTAGTCTGTACCCATCAGTGTAATGTATAAAGATCATGGTGAGGTAAAAACTGGTCACCGATCTTAACTGTTCTTCGTGTGGTCGTCTGTGTAGTCACAAACCACATGCCATCTCTGAATTTGCTGCAGCATATTTTTATGTTTGAAAGGAACTGAGCAGCAAGGCATGACTCCTCCCTTGGGTGCATAAATGATTTGAAGCTGTATTTCTGAGGAGAGGAGGTTTTCACACCTCAGTCACAGTTCTAGGAGTTCCTGAGTCATTGTTGTCAGCAGGCGCAAAGCCTATCATTGTGAGTGCAGATGACCACTGGAACAATAGCTGTAGGTAAGCAGCCTGTTTTTCTGTTTCCCGTTCTGTGATTTTACTACACTTGCTCCATTGAGGGAAACCCTGTAACCGTGGTAGTGCCAGAAGTACTTCATGAGGGGGATGAGAACTGAAATATTGTTGGATAGTGTTGGGTGTGATCTGGTTGAGAAACAGAACAGAAGGTGATCGTGAGCTGTCAAGCCTACACTGTAAATGATAATGTTATAATGAAGAGGTTTAAGTGCTTTCCTGTGGTGGAGAGCCTCAAGCTTCAGGGGTGTGGTAGGGGAAACAGAAATAAAACAAGGCTAGGGTGAGAATGCAGTACAGGGGCTGGCTTTTGAGTTCTGTCTATTAATGGGTGGTCTTAGTCATTCTGGGGTCCTAGGCAGAAGTCAAAGATGGGGGTCCCCACATCTCTCAGCTGCCTACCTTAACTTGCTAGGAGGAGGCGGTCTGGAGGATATGAAAGAACACAGTTGTGTTGCTGCATAGGCTGTGGGGGGGGGCAAAAAAGTGCAGATGACACACACATGTGGTTTGTCTGCAGTGCAGGCACAGGTGCTGCTTGCATGGGGCATGAAGGGATGGTTGGCTGGCTGCACAGGCACGAGGTAAGGGAATGGAGGTTGGGAGGGGGGGCCTCCCAACAGCCCTACACCTGTTGCCAGGTCCCTCCCGTCTCTGTCCCTGTTTGTCACCCTTTGAGTTGCAGGGGTTTACCTAGCAATAAACTGCAGAGTAGTCCCGGGGTGGGTGGGGAGCCAGCATCCTTCCCTTGCCATTGTCACCTTGTGGCAGCAGCAGCTGAAACTCCCACTGTCCAGGAGAGTTAAGGGTGAGGGATGGAGAGCTCTCAGTCTGTCTGTATACTATTAGCCATGTGTAGCCATGATCTGCAGATAGCTAAATCCATGGATTTGGGGCTACAAGGAGACTAAAGAGATTTTTCTGCACACTTGGGGAATTCCCCAGGTGTGCAGAAAAATCTGAAATGTTTACATTTCAGTAAAAAAAATTGAAGTGTCTATGCACAGGCATCGTTTATACTTCAGTGGTGGCAGCAAAACCCTAGGGCCTGGCTGCAGCAATAGATATCGCGAGCCACTTAGAGTGGCTCCCAGACAACACTGTGGGGAGGTGGTGGGCCTACCAAGGCTTCTTTCCTCCCTCCTCTGCTCTTGGCGAGCCTGCCCTGACAGTTTCGACAAGCCGCTGAGAGAGGGAAGGGGGGAAGGAAGCCTTGGCGAGCCATACCTGGAGCAGCTCCGGACAAGCCACCAAGAGTGGGGGGGGGAGGTGGTGGGTCCAGCTGCTGCAGGGGAGCCCTGTGTGTCCAGCAGCCTGTTGAGAAAGGGGGGAGATGAGTCCCCCCCACAAGTATAATGAGTCCCCACTTGTCTACAGCTCCAGTCTCCATCTCTTGCCCCTGCGTGAGTAGCAGCTGCAGCAACCGACCCAGCAGTCAGCTATAGGGTGGGGGTGGCAGGCATCATCCCTCACCCTGACTGCCTCTAGAATCTAGACAGTATGGGAGCAGTGTCAGGGCAGAAGCAGCTGCTATGACTCCAATGGCAATGAGGGATGGAAGCTTGATGGGGAGGCTACTACCCTATAGCTGATTTTGGGGATGAAGTAGGAGGGGCTCTGTAGGGCGATTAGAGGGCCTGCCCAGCCTCCATACTGTATCTGTTCAGTTAATCATCCATCTATCTCTCATGCTAGAGAGGCAGCTGGGGCAGCTCGCTGCCTGCGCTGAAGTTGGGGGCCCCCAGGCAACTGGGCCAGTTGCCCCTGGCTAAGACCACCCCTATGACTCTGATTGGGGTCAGGGGCTTCATGATTAAAGAAGAGTTAGAACTTCGGATTTCAGTGAGGGTGACACGTTTTCCCTCCTTTATTTCCACTAAACTTAAAACCAGCTGCTGTTGTCCTCCCCCCCTCCCCCAAGTAACCTCTACTTTTTAATGTCATGGTACGCATTTGAACTTGATGATCTGGTTCAGTTGTAGAGAAGTATTTGCTTTGATATCTCAACACTAGTTAGCCATATTTAGCAGTTTAAAATACGTACTCCACTTTAACTGAGCCTAGTTTTGGCTTTGATAAGTAGTGGTTGTCCTTAAGTGAATAAGCAGTTATAATGCATATTTGCTGTGCTAAAATTGACATCACTATATTACATGTAAAAAATGTGAGAATCATCCCATAATTGGGGAGAATAAGGGAGTACAATAAACTTGAAGAAAACTGCTTATATCTGCAAAGTTAACATACTGGATAGCTTGGTTTCTGCAAATTTTGTTTTTTTTCCCCAGTATTTCACACAATTGAGGTTATAGGTAGGATTGTTCTAGATTTCCAAGTCCCTCAAAAATAGACATTATGCCACATTTTAAGTCAGCCTGAATGGTCATAATTTAGATAATGGTGTGACTACACCTTATTCATTGCAGCATTAGAGAGAATGACTAAACTCAAGTGGCTGGAAAGTTCATTAGTAGCCTGTAGGGCTGGCATTCTAGCCAGCTCTCTGGTTTAATATTCCTAGAAGCAAAAAATGCCATTGTTTAGGTGTAAGCGTACCTTTTTATTTATTATGGTTTCACATCTCACAAAGGTCAGAGTGAGGACTTCTTGTCTCCCAGTCCTGCAGAAGTTGAGAAAAAATGTAGTAGTGTAGCAAAGCTATTTCTACTGGTCATTTGCTATAACTGCAGCTATTTTCATGCATGAATGACTGGTGGAAAAAACTTAGGGTTGCCCATGACTTCCTCTTGTTTACTGCAGGAAGTCCCCTGTGATGGATTGGGCTGCTGCCAATCTGCCTTTTAAAAGGATACCTTTATAATTACTGGCAAGATTTGATGGATTTCCCCAGTTTAATGCCCAACTCTAGTAGCCTCCTCAGATATTTAACCCCCTGTGAAATAAACCCAGCGAAAGAGACTATAACAAGAAAACCGGAAATCAAGAGCAACAACACTGGCTGGTTTTGTGGGTTTTAGAATATTATAGGCAACTTCAGGCCTTTTCAGGGATGGATCTTTTAAATTCACTTATTTTTATTTTGTCATTTGTGCTAGGCTCGATCGTCTCTTTATCTTATTGGATACTGGCACAACACCTGTAACAAGGAAAGCCGCTGCACAACAACTTGGGGAGGTTGTGAAACTTCACCCCCACGAATTAAATAATCTTTTAGCAAAGGTAAGTAATTTTTGAATATTTTGACAACCTTTATGATATTGGAGCGCTTCCTGATTATTAAATTCCCTATAAGGAATTTCTGAAATACTCAGTTGATGCTGGTGATTATGTTAGGGGTTTCATTTAAAAGCTGTTATGACTGATAAAGGGTCTTCTACTTATCTGATAAAGCATCTGTTTCTCAATAGCACATTGTCCACTTGTTTTATTAGAAATAAATGCCTAATTTTCTGCAAGTGCTAATTCCTGGTCCTGAAATTCTTGTGTCGTTACATCTGAAATCAGTGGATATGATTGATTTATAACGTTTTGTGGGGTGTAGTTAATGAGTACTCTGTGGCGTTGTGCAAAGATACATGTAGGCTGATGGGCTAGATATTTTCTGAGTATATTTGCAAGCGTTTCCATGACACCTGTTGCCTCTGTTCTCTGATAAGTTCAGGATGTGCCCGAATATCTGTTACGGAAACAGTTTGCTTCAGTAGGGCTGATGTATAGAGTCTTAGTACTGAGATGTTATTTCAAAATAGCTGTTAAAATCCTTAAATTTGAACATTGGCGGTCTTCTTTGATTAGCAAGCCTGTGAAATGGCCTATTTTTTAAAAAAACAAGTCTTAATTTCAAGAGTTCACATATTTTAAAAACTGAACTATAGCTTAATGTTTTGCCAAATATTACTTCACTTTGGCAGATATTCTGAGATGCTTCTGTCTGAAAGCAGTGAACTACATGGATGGAAGTGACCCTACATGTTTGATTTTACAGTGCCTTATCAAATGTGATGGAGAGGTTGTAATTAGAAAGGGGTAAAGAATATTACAAGGCCATTGAATTATCTGTTTTAAGATATAGGACCTGAGTAATGTTTGAACTTCTTAAAGGTGTTGGTACACTTAAGGAGTACAAATTGGGATACTCGCATTGCTGCTGGACAAGCTGTGGAAGCAATAGTGAGAAATGTGCCAGAATGGAATCCTACTCCACGACCCAAACAAGGTGATTCTAAGTAATTTATGTGGAATTACATAAGGTATATTTGGATAGGCTTTCTGTGCAACCATCTTTCCAAAACATGTTTAGCATTGTATTCTTGGTCATCAGTAAAAATAATGAATAGTGTTCTCTGTACTGTATAAAGTACATGAATGGTTCTTACCTATTTTTTCATTTTCCTTAGACAAACATCTTGTGCTTTAAAGGCTTGAATGATAACTATCAATCTCATTTTTATAGTACTCTCCCTTCAAAGGGCCCAGGGAGAAATTCCAGTCTCTCCCTACCTTCATTTTATCCTCACAACATCCTTGTGAGGTAGGTTAGGCAGCATGACCCATTGAATTTTCCTAATGAAGTGGGCCCTGAATCCAGGTCTCCCTAGTCCTGTTCTGACACTCTTAACTACTACACTGAATAGAAACTACTACAGTACACTAGTGTTGCATATTTGTGTAGAACTGAATAAAATTGTTCTATCGCATTCTAATTAAATTTTCTGTTAATCAAGAACATGGTTGTGAGAGTCCTGTGGAAGAGTCATCTGCCTCTGATCGGTTGCGTTTTGACAGATTTGATATCTGCCGACTCCTGAAGCATGGTGCTTCTCTTCTTGGGTCTGCTGGTGCAGAATTTGAAGTCCAAGATGACACAGCAGGTACCTGTTTCTTTAACCACGCTGCATGTGCATTGAGCAGCATCATTTTCATTATTATTATGGCATTTTGTCTTACTCAAATAACTAAGCAACAATTCTTTGGCTTTTCAGTATTCACAATTAAGTATTAGCTGATCTTTCATAATTTGGAGATAGATGTAATCACGTTTGCCATCCTCTTTCCACCTAAATAGCGATCAAGGATGAATAGATGAAGAATTCACATATATTAGCTGTAGTTTTCTGGATCTTTAAATACACAGAAGATAGTCATGTATACTTGCAGTTCTGTTGCTCTGAAATCTGCCCCTAAGACTTTTAAGGGAGTCTCTAAGTAGAGTTTTCATAGAGTCTTTAGTGATTTTCAAAGCTAAGGTAATCTTCAGTATATAACTGTATGTAACTGCCAAGATGTTTGCCAAACAAAGAACTGATTAGGAGTTTGGTTTGTCTCAACTGCCTTGATTTTCCTATATTTTCCGAAATATCAGTATGAGATTATAAATCTCTGGTGTGATGTTCACTGAGATGTTTAAAGGGTGCATAATTCGTTATGATTTTTCAGTTTACTAATCTGGAATGGCAAGTCATTTTTTTCAGATATTTGGTCTTTTGGCAGTAAATACATATGTCTATAGGTCTTAGTTTAATACAGTTCCATTGAGCATAGTGAAAGTTAAAGTATAAATGTAGCAAAACAATTAGAAGCATCTAAGTGACTGTATATTAGTAATATTTTGTAACAGGCAATTTTACTACTTACGGTAGCGATTACAGTGGTGAACTATAGCGTCCATCTAAAATATGGAACTGTTTTTGCAAGCTTGCTGCACTAGTCAGCTCTGTAAATATGAGGCACAGTGTGCAACTTGAGTTTCTGTTAAGTTTGTGAGAAGAGGAGGAAGTCCTTTAATGAAATGTTTGTGTCTAGGTTTAAAACATGTCCAACACTTTCATGTTAGATGAAAAACATGGTTTAAAAATGTGATGTGGACTACTTAATTTTGAAGGTGAAATTGATCCCAAAGAGAGGATAGCACGACAAAGGAAGCTGCTCCAAAAGAAGCTCGGCCTTGATATGGGAGCTGCAATTGGAATGAATACAGAAGACTTGTTCAATGATGAGGATTTGGACTACACTCCTGCTCCATCGTTTCTTGTACACAAACAACCTGTAGGTAAAACCTCAGTCTACTTGATTGCAAGGACTACAGTGGTTTGCTTTGTTTATACTTCTGCCATTGTAAAGTATTAAGCTTTAAATACTTGTTTTGTAACTTTAGTTTTACTAAAGTATTTAATGCCACACAATAATTTTATTTAGTGTGTTGATAGGGGATGGTATGAGAAGTTGTGGGATGGTGTAAGAAGGATTCTGCCCACTTAAATTGCAGGCAAAGGAGGCATGCTGAATCTTTAAATCTTTTCAGACTCTTCAAGCTGCTGACTTGATTGATTCAGAATTTCGAGCTGGTATGAGTAGCAGGCAAAAGAATAAAGCTAAGAGAATGGCCAAGCTGTTTGCCAAACAAAGATCAAGAGATGCAGTAGAATCCAATGAAAAGAGGTACAGTACTAGTTAAGTGGAAATAATAACGCTAATGCAAACTTTCCCAGTGTGCTAGCCTCTGTTTTTCTTCTACTAAACACACTGACCATATATTTTGCTGGTAAC